GTTCTATTTGTGTAGACATAGACTTCGCTCTATGTAGATCAGTTTCACTTATTATATCTTAAACATAATTCCTTTGACATAGGAAGATGTCAATTCTACCTCATAAGTATTTTAGTTTTTCCAAGGTTTTCATATGAAAGCTTTTGGTGACATAGTTTTTGAACTGTTGGATAACTTCATGATTGTTTTTACATATGATTAAATCAAGACTACGAGTTGCACATTTTTATTGTAAAGCATAAACAATTAATAATATGATTAATGAAAATCATACCCTTTGAGAGGGGATGAGAATTTGACAAACCAACACCTTTTCAAAACTTACATACCATTTCTAATTGAAAAGTTTGAAAACCATGAGATAGTTTCATGAACATTTTTTCTTGCAACTCTCCACAAAGAAATGTATTATGAACATTCATTTAAAATATCTCTCACCTTTTGTTGTAGTTACTATGACACAATTTGAATAATAATAATCTTTGTTACTAGGTATATATATATATATATATATATATATATATATATATATATATATTTATAACTCCTTCAACTTAATAGTTTCCAAGTATAACTAATTGGGCTTTAAAATGTTCTATAGTTTTATCCGAATTTTACTTAATCTTATAGATCCATTTGCATACCAATTTCTTCCTGTTTATTGGTAAAGGACAATTTATCCAAGTTCAATTGTCTTCAAGTGCTTGTATTTCTTGTTTCATTATTGAAGGTCATATATTATCTTTTGTTACATTTGGGTAGTTTGTTAGTTTTTTTCTTGATAGTTACTACAACAAGAAACCTACAATACTTCAAAGAAAAATTATCATAACTCATATGATATATTACAGGATAAAGTTCACCTGAGTTATGATCTGGAGTGAAAGAACCACTTGATGAGTTTTCTACTTGAACTATATTAATCATGTGCTCTTATAGTCTCATAAAGTGATATGAATCTCATTTGCACAAGAGCTGACTTAGGATCTTTAGGGTTAGAACCTTGTAGGAAATTTTGGAAATTAGTAAAAAGTTGGATTAAAAAGTGGTGAAAATTTTAGGGTTGGACAGTATTTTTGAAACATTAATATATCAAGCTATAAAACTCCGATTTAGGTGATTCAAAAGCGAGGTGAAAGTTCTCTTTTTGAATTTCAATTTAGGCTCAAGAAACACTCAATTTGATCGATTATAATGAAAGTTATGACCATGGAATAAATTTGGATAGAATTGGATTTTCTGGGTTCTGGTGAAAAAAGGACAAGAGGTGAATGTGAAAGGTCGAAGGAAAGAATCACTCTTCCCAAGGGAGACAACTCACAAAGGATGTGAAATTCTTTTTATACAACCAAGGGTTCTTGAATCACTCAAGAACTTAGGAGAATCACTCTCACCAAGATAAAAGAGTTAAACTCTAATATTTCTGAATAAAACTCAACTTATTATTTCTGATAAAATGGGTAGAAGTTTTACCATCAAAGTTACAAAGACTCAATAAAGGAAAATAAATATTAATAATGATCCATTAATTTAGGAATTGAAAAATTACAGGCAAATAAATGACAATAATGATCCATTAACCTAGGAATTCAAAACTACTTAATGGTTGATTGTAACTGAAATTGTGGCAATCAAAAGTCAATCAGTTATGCACCATCTTGGTCTGCCAAAGGCTGATACCTAAGTTTTCAATTGGACCCTTATTACAACTTGAAACAAAACCAAACTAAATCTCATTAATTGATTAACCCAAAACATAATTTGGTCAACCAATTTTACATAGGATTGAGCCATTATTTAAACAAACTTAAAGATTGTAGCAAAGTGACGCATTAGTCCTCCTCCATTGGGTCATGATGCAATTCACAATTTTGGTCTTTTCTCCTTGAAATGTGAGTTTGTATTCAAATAATATGGACAACACTTGTTAAAGAGTTTTCTTTACTTCCCTTGCTCTAACCTTTGTCATAGGTCCTCCAAGTCTTTCAAGTGGATCATTGTTCTTGCTCATGATCATGTCTCTATCATAAAGGGAACTATGAGATGTTTTCTTCATTCAAGATGTTTTTCTTTTTCTGCTTCATTTGAGAAGGAAGTTTATTATCTATATTTTCTTATCCTTGTTTCACTTGTTGTCCCACTTTTTAGAGACTCAAAATCATTAATAACATTATTTTTAATATTGTTATCTTCAATATTAACATCATAAGTCATCATAATAGGAATAGTCTCGTTATTAGTAGGTTGTACAAAAGAAAAATAATTATCAAAGTTTTCTAACCATAACATCAAAAGTCATCATAGTAGGAATAGTCTCGTTACTAGTAGGTTATGCAAAAGAAAAATAATTATCAAAGTGTTATAACCAAAATTTTTAGACTTTAGCTAGTTCATATTTAGTAAAAATCCACCTAAAACCTAACTTTAAAAGTTTATTTTATTAAATTAGTTTGTCTCTATTCCTGTCCTAATAGGCTTGAGTCCTAATAATTTAAAGTCATTTGTCTTAAATAACTTGATTCTTATGGTACAAATTTGTGGTAACAATCCTTTATTAATAGGCAAAATTTTAGGAATATACGAAATCGGGAAGAGGAAGTTGGCCTGGTCAGTTTCATATCGACCTCCTTGGTCAGTAAAAATCCAATCAAACCTAGACATTAAACCCTTTAGTCTCAAGGCAAAGATGTTGAGGCTTAAAATCTTGTCAAAATTTTCAAGATATCAATTATTCTTGAATGGCTCTAGCCTAAATGGGTTTGACGTTAACTTTTAGCATCATACAATTATCTTGTCCTAAGACCAAAGCATTGAAGCTTAGCAGCTCAGTCCCGAACTCATTTTAGATTCAACCTTGTACATTGGCTCAAAATTATTACTTATTAAATAATTTTTAAGTTTTTTGCATGTATTGTATTTTGAACAATTGTTTATTTCTACTATCGCATGCTTTGAAGACTTTTGAATGTATTAGTTAATTTTCTATTTGTCTTGGGCTATTAATACCTCGCACATGGATTGACACAATTAATAGATCCTCGTGAATATTATAAATGACATATACAACAACCTTTGAATCCAATAATAAAGTATCATAGCCTACATGCCAATCGAACTACTATCAAATGGATTTATGTGTTAAGTTATCATAGGGGATCACTTTTATGATGGATCGGGTCAGTGAAGACCACGCAATGGATCACAAGTTCAGTCATTAGAGACCATATAAGGTCACGAGTTGATGGCTCTTGTAGGGTCTTCATTATATCGACCTCATAGGGTGCTAAGTAGGCATGGCAACGGGGCGGGGCGAGTTTTGTCTCCCCGATTTTCGCCCCCGACTTTTTTAACTGTCCCCGCCCCCAATCCCTACCAGGGTTAGAAATTAAGTCTTCATCCTCGTCCTCGCTGAGTTTCGGGTTTCTCCGCCCGCCCGTCCTCGATCTATATTATTTTTAGAAATATAATTATATTTATAATAAATTAATTTTACTATGTATTTTGTATATATAAATAAATATTTATAAAATAAATATTTATATTAAAATATGTATATAAAATATATATTTAATCATTTTTTATTTATATATATAATATTTATATTATTATTATTATTATAACAATGTATTCAAATATTTGAATACTTATATTATTATTATTATTATTATTATTATTATTATTATACTATATTCAAACATGTGATTATATATATATATATATATATATAAAAGTTAATTTATTTTTAAGTTGTTATTTTAAAATATGAAATATATTATTTAAGAAAATATTTAATAAATTAATTCTTATTTAATTAATTTGAAGTAATAAAAGTTTAAATTATCAATTCTTTTTAATCCTTTAAAATACAATTACTTTATTAAGATAAAATTTGATATATGACAAATAAGAATAATAAGATTCAAAAAATATGACATAATAAAATCTAATAAATATAAATTATAAATAAAATAATATTAGTTACTACTAAGATTTATGTAAAATGTTTAGAAAACGATAAAGACGAAAAAATATTGATTAGAGAGATTAAGGAAATGTGAAAAACTGAAAGACAATAGAAAGAGAATAATGTAATAAATTAATTAATATAAAAGATAAAAAAATAAAAAAGTAGGTAAAAAAAGTAAAAATGGTAAAATATAAAAAATGACCTTGTATGTAATAAAAAAAATATTTTAAAATTTAAATTTAAATATAAAATCAGGGCGGGAACGAGGACGGGGTCGGGGTCGGGATCGGGGGACGGGGTCGGGGTGGGGATTGTATTACCCATCCCCGCCCCCAACTTTTTAAAGCGGGGAAAACCCGAACCCGCCTTCGCCCCTGGTCAACTCGGTTTTTTCCCGTCAAACTCAGGATGGAGACAGGTCGGTTCCCACAGGTATGAATTTAATTGTTATCCCTAGTGCTAAGAGATCAATGTCATAGGGTCCTGAGTAGATCGACCTCATATGATCCAGAGTATATTGACCTCATAGGGTGTCGAGTAGATGAGATGTAGTCATAATGTTATGTGTTTATTCAAATCCTTTTATTCAAAAACTTTTGGAAGGAAAACTTTTGAAAGAAAAAAAATCCCTAAAGAACGAAAACACAATTATTTAATCTAAGCACGAAAGTGTAATTATTCAATCAAGCGACACCTACCTGAAGTAAAAGTGACACTCATCCAACTCTAGATTTCATTTTAGCATAATAGATATCCTTTCAAAATATCCTACTCTTTCCCACCAATTTCTCTTATGCTCATTTTCCATTGATGACATTTTTTATGATGTTTGGCTTCCATTTTCCGATTACTTAACATCGAGTTTGCAACTATTGTTCCCCTTGTATGTTGTCATGGGTTCAAGGTCGACAGACTCATCCATCATGTTGTGGTGATGATAGTGTTGTAAATTTTCTTTAAATGAGAAATTAAAGTACTAGTAACACTTAACTCATTGTGAGACAATGGGGAGTTTGACTGGAGAGTGACGAAGATGGCCAATGGGAAGGTGATTGGTGGAAATGTGTTGTGGTTGTTAGTGTATAAGGTTGATTGTGTAGAGGAGGATTACACACAAATGATTTGGTTGGCGTGGCTAGGGTTCTACATTGAGATTTCCAATTCAAAATTGGTTGAGAAGGTTGAAAATGGTTAATAACTGCTTCAAAGAAAGGTGGTCCCTCTCATTTTTCTTTAACTTTGTACTTTTCCATGTAAGAAGGAACATTTTACCACCCCCATAATTAACGCCAAATGTTCTAGCCAAAATTCTCAAAGACTTTAGCTAGTTTTAAATGAGTAAAAATCTACCTAAAACCTAACTCTAAAGATTCATTTATTAAGTTAATTCGTCTTTAGTCCAATCCTAATAGGTTTGGACCTTAATAATCTAATGTCATATGCCTTAAATAGCTTGATATTTATGGCACGATATTTATGGTAACAACCCTTGATTATGGGCAGAATTTTATGAAGATATAATATCTTGAAGAGGAAGTTGCCCAAATGGATCTCATACTCACCTCCAAGGTTAGTTAAAGTTCAATCAAACTCGAACACTACACAAAGAATTCAATATGCTTGACATAAAATATCTTTTAGTTTCCACATCATAAAACCTCAATCCTTACTTCCCATAAACACAATTTTTACTTCAACTAGCAAATTTATTTCCTTCTTTCGTTATGAGCATAATATAAAGAATCAAATACCTTTAAGTGACTATAACAATGGTTGTTTCCCATATAATATTTCATAAGAGTTTTTCAATCTAACAAAGGTGTATCATTATATTTGTTGGATAATCCATTGTTATTATACATTCATTCCAAAAAGAGATATGAATATTACCTTAAAATTTTAAGGCATGCACAACATAAAGGATGTATCTGTATTTTCTTTCAACTTAACCATTTTATTGAGGCGTCTTTATATAAGATGCTTGAAAAATAATGTTAAATTCAAGAAAATTTGTTCAAAAGTATGTAAACTCAGTTTATTATCACTTAAAATTTTTAATTTACTTTTCATATTGTCTTGTTATCAAAGAAACAAAATTTAACAAAACTCTAAAAACTTCCCTTTTTTTAAGTAAAAGATAAATTGAAACATCACGTGAATAATAATCAACAACAATTAAAAAATAAGAAGCATTGCAAAGTGATGGAGATCAATAATATTCCAACAAATCACAATGGAAAATTGTTAGTAGTTTTATTATTACTTAAAAAAATTGTTTATACTTTAGTTTGTTTTTGGACATATATCATAGACCTTATATGCAAGCTCACTATTTTTATTATCAATATTTGAGACTAGTTGCGTAATCTTCAAAAAGATATGTTTCATTTTCTTGTACCAAATGTCAGTAAAAAATCCTTCATCAACTTTGAATAATTTTCATGTTGAAACCCTTTGAAATAATAAAGTTCATTCTTCATCCACACCTATTAACTTCTTCAAAGTGAGATTTTATATAATACATGTAGACTTAGTAAATTAAGTCATATAATTTGATTCATTCAAAAATTGAGAAACAAATATTAGGCTACATATTATAGTCTAGGTACATATAACCTCCTTCAAATGATATATTTCCCTCTTTGGTTGCTACAACTTATTGTCCATCTAGTATTTCCACATGATATCCTTGTACGGTTCTCAACTCTTACAAGGAGTTTCGAATTTTCTTTCATATGATTGGAAGCGTTAATGTGAAAAATTCTTTTCTTATATGTCATTTACCTTATAGTTAGGCAGAACTTGTTATAGCTCTAGTACAATAATAAATAGGAGAAAAATGTTTTTTGTCTTCCAGCAAAACAATTCAAACTAGAGAAAAAAAGGAAGAGTCACGAGAATGAGAGAGAAGATAGAAAAAGAGAAAATATAAAAACATTATCTAGATTTTAGAGCACTTTTAGTCTATTTAAATACTCAAATATGAAATAAATATGGACCTAAATGTGAATTCTAATTAAGTTCATAAGCTAAATTACAAAAGATAAGTTAATAAAAAAGAATATCAAATTTGTCTCAACTTCTAAAAATAGTAAAAAACATCATAAAAATTCAAATCCAACCGTTATGACTAAAATAGTGAACAAATATCATATTACCTAAAAATACAAAATTAAAATAAATATGTATATTGAAATCAATTTATTACTACTAATTAAAAATAAATTTAAAAGTGAAAATAAAATATATAAAAAATATATTCACTATACAATAAAACTATCAAGCAGTGTATAAAATATATTTTATTAACTCTACAAAACTTTAAGATTTGATTTCACAATAAAATATACACCTAAAAAGAAAATATTATTGATAATTTTTTGTCACTATCTTTTAATCAATTTATCTCAACTCAAAATGAAGATTTTATATATCTTTAAAAGAGTTTATTATACAATATTAGAGTCTCAAAGTTACACTTGAAGTTAATCATGGTTCTAATTATATAGAGCATGATAGATTTATTACATTGAAGGGATAAACTTATTATGGTCCTAAACATCTTTTGGTAAATCAAACTTTGGAAGAGTTTCATAATATTCTACTGGGAAGACATGCTGAATTTACAATAACTCTAGCCAGGATTACTGTCCAAAAATATTAGTAGGAATGCACATTAAGATTAGGGATTTTGTCCAAATTTTTTAACCCAAAACCCTAAAGTCATGACTACCTCACCTCCAGGTTCCCCATTATCATTCAGAAAAATCTTTACCTCCAACAAAATACCACATTTTTGCTTTAAGATAACTGTGTATAAAAGTAACTCCATCATTTTGGATCACATTTTCATGTGCAATCATTACCTAAGTAATCTATTTTGTTCCCTGTTCACATAATGTCTCCTATAATGGAGTGTAAGTATCCCTTCATCTCTTTCAACTTTGACACAACAACCCCTTTTCTAAAGCAGACAATAACATCATGACAAAAAAAACTACAAATTTAATAAATCAATTTAAAGTTATTATATTTAACAAATATTTGAAGTTAACATCAATTTAAAAATGTTAGGCATTGTCAATTCATACAGGTTTTTAGAACTTTTATAAATTAATCTATTTATAAGATATTTATGAAAAAATTTCTTTTATTTTTCTCTATATGTTCTTCTAAAAATATTTATAAAGTTATTTAATATATATTATAAAGAGATTTTTTTTTCATTTTGGAAAGGAAAAATATATAGTACATAATGAGGAAGAAAAAACATAAAATACAACTAAAAAGTGAAGTTAAATAAAATAAAATAAAAAATACTTAGAGACTTTAACGCTTAAAAAAGATCAAAATTTCATATTAATTTTGTAATATTAAAAATTATCATTAAATATTAAATTTAGGGAAAAAAATAACTAAATCACGAATTCTCAATATTTGAAACATTGGATTCATCAATTTTAAAATATAATATGAAAGCAAAAAAAAAAACTATATTTTCCTACTATATTAATATTATAAAAATAATAAAATTATTATATACTTATATAATAATGTGTGATTAAATAACTTTATATGCTATAAGCGAGCTGATAATATAAAATCATTTTACATTATTATTCAAATTTTAAATAAAACAAATTTCATTAAATTTTTTATTCCTTCATTATTGTTTTACTGATGTTGAAGTAAAAAAAGTAAGGAAAAGATTGTGGATAAACAGTAGTAAGCAAGCATTAACTTTACCTTCGATTCCCATCCATTGCGACTACTCTGAAGCTATCTTCCACAAACAAACTCCACTCTTTCGATTCTCATTCCCCTCTCTCTCAAACCTGCTTTCACGGAAATCCAATCCACCATGCGGAGAGGGTGAGAAGCGTAGGAAAATCTCCTCAATGGAAAGGCTCTGAAATTAGGGTTTTTTGCAGAAGAAGAAGAAAAAGGAGGAGGGGATGATGAAGCGGCTGTTGGGTGGGCCCGGAACGATTAGCGGCTTTCTGTTGAGGTTTGGCCAATGTGCATTTGGTGCCGCTTCAATTGCTCTTATGGTCACTGGTTTTGGCTTCTCTAGCTACACTGCTTTCTGGTATTCCACTGTTCTCTCTCTCTCTCTCTTCGTCTTCTTCTTTTTTCCTTTTTCTTTTACGTTATTCCTTGAAAAATTAAATTGAAGTTGATGATGTCTGTTGTTTTGAGGATTTCCTAGTTTAGGGCGTGTTTGGATTGGGGAGTGGGCAGTGGGAGTTAATATTTCATTTCTAGATTGAGTATAGAGTCTATTCGTTGAAAAAACTTCTCCATAACCATTTTTAGATGATGGAATTACTTCTCCGTAAGCTGAAATTAGTTTCTCCTTAAGGACTTTTTAAAGAAAGATTTTTTTTTTTTCATAAGTTAAAATTAACTTACGGAGAAATTAAACATTAGAATTTACGGAAGTTATATTAGAGAGTTTTGACAATAACGGAGATTTCAAAAACCTGTAAGCTGTAGCTAAACTTGTCGTTGTGGACCGAATTTTGAAAATTTGGAGTTTAGCATTTGGGGAACATACAGTGATAATGGTGCCATTTGGGATTGAGTGGTGTGGGTATCAAACAAAATAGAGGAATACGTGAAAAAAAAATTGGAATTTTCAATTGAAGGATGTGATGGTGACGTGTTGAACATGGGCGTGGAAAATTTAAGGGTGTGAAAATTAGCTTTAAAGACTTTATTTTAAATTTGATTTAACCAAATTTAGAGGATGACAAACTAATTCTTAACAGTGAAGAGGAAGAGGAGTTACACTTGTTTTTAGGTTTTGCACATCAGATATTAATACAAATCTCCCGGAGCGGAGGCCAAATTAATGTAGGGAGGAGAGTAAACTGACCTGGATCAGTGAATGGAATTACAAGAGCATGAGGGTGAAGATGGGTTAGAAGTTTTCTTCTGTCAATCTAAAACGTAGTTCAGATGAGGCTCTTGACCAAACTGTAATTAGGGTGTGCTTGTAAATTGTCCCTCTTTTTTAACTAGGTTCTAGGTGCATTTACTCAACCAGGATCATACATTGCTCCTAGATCGAAGCTCAAGCTTATGAGCTTGAATATGCGTTGGAGGGTAAAAAATCCCGTAAGTGATTGAAAACTTGCGTATACGTTTTCATGTATACTGCAATGTGGACTAGGTGGTTCTTTTTTGGCAAGTTGTTACCGATGTGCTTAAAAGGGGGAGAGATAAGTTAGATATCGAGTTCAATCAGGAAACTAATTCAACTGTGTGAAAATTATAAATAAGATGCATTCTTTGCATCATTTTTTAGTTCTCAGTTTGAACATAATATAACCAATGGCAGCTTCTACTTCTCAAGTTTTTACTGGATGGTTTCAGTAAACAGCTTAAGCATTTATTCAATAAGCTATTATCCATTAAGCGTATATTTCATAAATTTGACCTGAAACTTGTTGAAATGAATTAGAAAGAGCTTATTTCCCCAAAATTTACCGTGAAACTTATAGAAATCAGCTAATGAACCATTTTCATAAGCTCCATAAGGTTTTCCACCACATGTGCCAGTACCAGACAGCCACTTCAACTTCCCTTTTACTTCTTGCCAACCACCCACTTCTCTATTTGCTATCTCTGGCAAATGAGAAGCCATCTTCACATTTTCTAACAGTAGAGACACTTGGCTAGCTGCTCAAAGAGTTAGGACTTGAGGTGAGTTAAGCCATATGGCTTAACATTTCTTGTCCTTTTGTGGTGGAAGTCTCACATCGTTTGTTTCATGTGGTATGGTTTAAATACCTGTTACGCTATTCCGCATATTGTCAATTGATTTTATGTTGGAATCTTAACATGGTATCAGAGTCAAAGTCTAGCTTCTTTCCGATTATTGTCTTGGACCAAAAGTTGTCCTGTTGTTATGGGTCAAAGTATTCTTTGTTGTTGTCTTGGACCAATAGTTGTTCTTAAAATACCCTTTGCCTGGTTCAACAGGCTTTGTTGGAGGGGATGTATTGGAAGACTCATATCGCCAGCCTCATGGTTTAAATACTTATTAGGCTATTTCATATATTGTCAATTGGTTTTATATTAGAACGTTAACAAGATTGTTAGGCTCCAATTTGAGTCCACTTAGTTTTTCTTGTTTTATTTATTTAAAGTATAACATATAATATATAACTAATTTACCCTAGTGTCTGGAGGCTACATGCTATGCTAAAGTATGGTGACAGGTCATTATACCCTACCTTACCATCGCATATGCAAAGTGATGGTTTCCATTCCAATCCAGGACCATTGATCACCAAGACACATCTTCCGTTGCACCAATGCTCACCCTCACAACATATAACATACAAACAAAAAATAACAATAACAAACACTAATAGACCTTAACGTATGATAACTATGCATGAGGTGCTTTTTCAATTCAATTAATACGGTGTTCTCACCAAATATGTTCTAGAAATGCCCAGATTCTGATTTGCTCTAGAAATTAGTTGTATTGTTTTTGTCTTGTTCCAAATCCTAATGGTATGGTGATGATTTTCTATGTTTATATGCTTAGTTGATTGTTTTCAAATTGAGCAATGAATGAGTGTAAAACTGTAGCCCTAAATCTTGAGATTCAGGTCTAATGGGAATAACAGGAATTTGATTGCTTGTTCCTGCCACAATAGTTTGGTTAAATTTAAGGAGAGGACTACTTTGTCATGTTACATGCTAAAGGGTTGTTTGGGTGTCTTCCATGGGGATTATTGTTACTTGTAAGTAGTGTTTAAGTCCGCTGCACTGGATTTTCAGATAGCAGTGTTTATCTATTAAGTATATTAGTAGAAAGTGATTCCTTTCTGCTTTTTTTGTCTATAGACTGCATATTTTCTCGGAAGCATAATTCTCTGATACTTCCCTGCGCTTTCAGCTATTTAATTGCATCAATGGGACTTCAATTTCTCTGGAGCTTTGGACTTGCATGTCTTGATATTTATGCCTTGAGGAGAAAGAGAGACCTACAAAATCCAATTCTTGTCAGCCTGTTTGTTGTAGGTGATTGGGTAATACCACTCTCCTCATCTTTTTCTTTTTTGTTTTTCATTTGGAAAAATAAATTCAGACATGAACATGCCTAAACATATCGCATATTGAACATGAATTCAAGTTGTATGGTTGGTTTACAAAATACTTGAGATAGTTACAAATATACATACTGGAGTTAATTATTTTTATGATAGCAACTTCTGAAGTGTGAATGTCTGTGTCTTCAATTTTTGTGTGAGCTCCTATTTTTAAACAACAAGTAATAAACTAATAATACGTGCCAATTACAACTTCATGTAACTGTCAAGCTTGTAAATATAATAGGCTTGTAAAATAATGGTCAAAATTTAAAATTGAACATAATTTACTCCTTTATTATCCCATATAGCAATGCAGAATAGTGTTTTTATTTGGTTTATCTAATGGAGCTGGTGAAAAACTGAAAACTAAAAGCTCTGATGGAGTATTGACAAGTTTGGCCATCAATTTTCGATATTTTTTTTTGTAACAATAACGGGATTGGAAACAATATTTTCTATGGCACGTTTTTTATATTTTGAGAAAATTGAGGTGATAAGCTGGTGAGGTCATATCATAGTGATTTATGAAATGCAGGTCACAGCAACTTTATCACTGGCAGCTGCATGCTCATCAGCAGGAGTTGTAGTATTATACTCAAGAGACCTGAATATGTGTGCGAATAGTAAGCGTCTCACATGCAACAAGTATCAGATTTCTGTAGCCATGGCTTTTGTCACCTGGGTTCTTACAGCAATGTCATCGCATGTGATGTTCTGGATCTTGGCCTCAGTCTAGCTTCACTTATTTCCTTTGCTAGACCCCAAGACCACCATAGATATCACGGTATCTTCACTTTTTGTAAATTTTGTTGTATCAATACTTGCCACGACATGTAGGCAAAATTTTCCTTGTTTCCCCATGATTGATTTTTCATTTTTCAACCTTGTCACGCCAACCTCAGTCTAGATATAGATGCTGGTTTAATGTAAAAGCTTGGACCTGATTCTGTAAACTTCCTTATTGTAACCAAGATATTCTCCTTGTGCTGGGTTCTTGCGGTTGTATATGATCTTGTTTACTTCCTGTCTTCTGCACTTTTCATGGTACTATAATTTAAAAACCATCATATATACAAATTGCCTAAAGTATTTTACTTCGACCCAGTTATTTTTTAAGAGTTTAAAATTCATTCATTATCAATATAGAACAGTTCTACATTTACATATTATTGTTGATATGATTTATAAAATAGTTATTGCACATTAAGTCTATAAACTAACTATACGCCACGATTTCTGATTGAATAACAGTATAAATGTCAGTGTGTGAGTATCTTTCTTATTTTCTAGAAAGTAGAGTAAATTATAGTAAGGTTTCTTGAAAAAGTGCCTCAGTAATTATTTTTCCTATTTATTTCTTCATCCATATTAATTTTATATACATAGACTCAGTCTTGGATTTATGAATGTGGGCCCTAACTAGAAGTTGCATTAAGTACTATAATGGTTTCTATCACTAGTAAGACATTTCTCATTCCTCAACATCATGGTTCCATATCATGCTTTCTTCCAATTTCCTTTTTTGTTGGCCCCATTATTCATTAACCTTGCATTTTGTCCTCATTGACCAATATGTGATTCCACTTGTGTGCTTTAAAATCATTCCTCATTACACTATTCATTGATAGCAAAATATATTAATCCCAGTTTTTAAATCAAGATTTTTTTTCAAAGACTAAATCAAGATTTAATGAAGGTTATCAGGATTTATTTTTTAGAAGGCAAAAAAGTATATTAGTATTCAGTTGAGATTTTAAAATAAATAAATAAATATATATATATATATATATATATATATATATATATATATATATGGTATTCAAAAGCATACAAATTTCAATCAATTATTTTATTTAAATTTTTATGCTTTTTTTAACTCTACCTGCACACATAAATATCATTCCCATGAAACAATCTATACCCTAAATGTGAGACTTATTTATTCTCATTCAGGATTTTCTCAATCTCAATAGTTACGGTAGAGTTCTTCTAATTTCAAATATTTTTCTATCCAATTAATTATTTTCTGCTATTTTTCTGGGTTATGTTTTCTACAAATAATTCATGGGTTATTGCAATTTGATTATATATCATTATTCAATCAATGAAAAAAAAAAATTCTTTATGATTTGTTTTTTATACGTGATATTGTTCTATGACTTTAAACATTTGAACCATTGCACTGTCATGGTCAAAGTTCAGAAATTATATGGAAAACAAACTAATAGAGAGAGAAAAAAATAGTGTTGGAACATTTTACCGTACTAACAAAATTCTTATTAAGATAATGTAAATATTTATAATATATGAATTAAACTTTATAAAATAAAAGTAGTAAGTAAATTTTGTGCTTTTAGTATTATAATATAAATAATATTTAATTTTGCTTATATGAGTCTTGAGAAATTACTATTAATAAATAATATATCATAGAAGATGATTGAGGTAAACGCTATCAAATCATCACAAAGAAAAATTTCAAGTGGAATTAGGTTTAAAAGTTGAAACTTCAATACATACATAATTAATATATACAGTGAGCCAACACAATTTCCTCTGTACACGCCATTATCCACCAAACCATACATGATTGAATACCTAGAAACATTTTTTTATGCCAATCTCGTTACATGATAATGATTTGAAAACAGAGTATTTAGACAGAAGTTTAGTCAAATCACTCTTGTTTTTTAAAGAACAATTATCATAGAACCATACTTAGAATGCAAATAAAATCTAAGAAAGATCCACCCATAAAAGGGAAAATGAAAACCTAAAACATTCTATAAATTCATAGTAAAGATGAAATGGAACAAACAATAACTTCTTCCCCATAAAAACACATAGAATAAATGACCCTTTGGGCATGAAACAAATCCATGTTCACCAGCATAAGAACAAGTATTTACAATTGCACAATACTTTCATGCAAGCATATGACTCCTTGGGTTATCCACATGCTTGCATGTTCAAACTAGGACCAAACTTGAACCATTTGAAAAGACAAACTTGAACACTTAACAATACAAGCAGTAACCACATTCATTACATGATGGTCATGTTGGAATTCTAGGTGAATTCAACCGACAAGGTGGGGATTGAACACGGGAAGAAACCATGATTTGAGTTGTAGAAGAAGAAGAAGGTTTGGAAGAAGATGAAGAATGTCCAGAATCTGACCCGAAGAGAGAAGTAGCAGAGGTTTGAAACCGACCCGAATCGCCAGGAAGTTTCATGTATGAGTAAGAAGGTGAGTCACAAAGCCATGATCCGATAGCCCCTTGTTTCCCATTCTTGTATTGCATTACAGCTTTGTACACAAACGGAATAAGACCCTCCATTTTATGTGTGACAATGAGAGAAAAACAGAGAAGAAAGAGAGAAAAACAGAGCAAAAACAGAGAAAGAGAAAGATTTTTGGGGAGTTGGTTTGTGAATTGGATTGAGGGTGAGAGGAGAACAGAGAGGTTCTTAGGTTTAAAGGTGTGGGATTGTGTGTGTGATGACGTGGAGTAATAGCATGAATTGGACTCCAACTCTTAACGCTAAGCCAAGAAGATTTCAACGCAAACCCTCAAGGATAACTTGAAAGCTATGTGCCCAACACAAAAAATCTCATTGGAATCATTTTGTGTTCTTCCCACTTTTTTATTATTTATTTGGTGGTTTTGGTTTGATGGGGTTTCAGCTTTTAAAATACGATTGGTTGGTTTGCCATTATCTTTTTAATCATTTTATTTGCATTTCATCTCATAAAATACATTTTACTTTATGTTGGATATAATAATATTATTAGATGTTGTAGTTGACTGTGCTTATTTATAGTATAGTTCAGATAAAAAAAATGTGATTTTATCTTAATTTTAAGTTTTTTTTAATAAGTTATTCTATTTTAGATTTAAAATATTATGTCTATTAAATAGATTGATAAATTATAAGTTTGGACAATATTTTTAAAATTATATTTCTTGAAGATATTTTTCTTTATGACTCAAATAGAGATATTTTAAATCATAATCATGTATTAAACATTTAGGCTCAAATATATCATTATTTATGTTAAAACTTTAATCTATAATTATTTAAAAATATATTTTTATAAATTATATATTATCTTAATTTTTAAATAACACGAGATTTATTAACAATGTGTAAGTTGAATTTAAAAATATCAATTTCGTATAAATTAAAAAAATATTTTTGAAATACCATAACTATCATGTAACATGCTAGAATGGAAACAATATTTTCGTATATATTTTTTTTTCTTACCTCTGATTTTAATGGTATCCTAGTGAATATTGTTGGTTGAGATGTTGTTTTAAAGTATGGTACGTGAGAAAGTGTTTTGTTGATATTATCGGCCACGTGTATCTGTGTACGATTTGGAGCATAAGATTTTATGAATCGTGTTTCGCACATTCCCTACGCCAAAATTTTTATTTGAGTGATGTTCTTCTGGCAACTAATGTATAATAATTAATATATTTATATACTCACAAATTAAGCCTACTTGATATCAACCCTATTCTCCACTTGTTTATTATTATTAAATCTTTTGAATAAAAAAATGGGTTTCATCATCATGAGAAGAATCTTGGACTTAAAGAATGTGATGATATTAATAAGATAATTATAAAAGAAAGAAAAAAGGTGTGAAATTTGATGTGTGGGATGAGTTAGGTGAAGATGGAAAAAAGAAGGTTGAGGTTTGATGAAATGGTGATGTGAAAGTGTAGTCTAAGGTGGTGTAAATTTGGATGTTGAAGTTACTTTAGAAAACAACAAATTGTGCTGCCCATTCTATCTATCTATTCTTCGTCCACTTCACTTCTTTTTCTCTTTCAGTCAATTTCCTCACCAACCAAGAATTGATGTTCATTATATCCACCATGTTTAATCTATTTATATATAACCTCCTCCTCTTCTTCTTTTCTAGTGTTTGTCTAAAGAATTTTTAATTTCATTTTTTTATTTAACTAGTTTTTTATAATAAATCAAAGTTATAAATCTACGTCATTATATATAAAATAAGATTTATAATTTATTTATATATTACAATTTTATTATATATCTACTCAACGTAAGATTTTAATAATTTTACATTTTTACTTATATATTAAAACGAGTAAATTTTATTTTTATACATACAAAATTTAAATTAAATTTTTCATATAATTCATATGAGAATTTATCATTCTCTTTTACTTTTATATTAAGTTTTCATATAAGAATTATTTTTTTAAGCTAAAAGGTTACTACTCTTCCAAAATTTTATAACTTACATATATATTTATTTTGGAGGTTCCTCAAATTTAATAATTATTAAATATATCTTGTATATTCATAATTTTTATCTCTCATTTTTTCATATATTATTTATTAATATGTTATTTACTTCTAAAATTAATGATCAAAATTACGTCACTATTATATAAATATAACAAAATGAACCCATTTGTCTCGCCTACTGTTCCACCAAAAATAAGGCGGGACAAAGCTGATCAATTATAATCAGAATGAGTTACGAGACTCTAACCTACCGTACTAAAGGGTGGGTGGGTCAACTTGACAATAATTTATTTATATATATATATATATATATATATATATATATATATATATATATATATTAATATTATAATATACTTATATATTTCAATAACATAATAAAAAATATAATATTTTTAATTATAATCTCTTTTATTTTAAACATAAAATTTGTTTTCAAAAACAGATCCGTCTATCTTATCTTTGACCTACCCAAATTGACACATTAGATAAGACGGGTAACAATGAACTAATAAGTTAAAATCACAAATTCATCTCACTATTTTTTAAATAGGTCGACCCACCCATCTAGTCTATTTTGTCATCATGTTATGTTATTATATATAATCGATATAAATAAACTTAAATTTAAAATAAATATTAATATTTACGTATTGACGCTATATAACATGTTTTTATGATTTGATTATTGGTGGAAGATGATCTTATAATTTTGTATTAAAGTAAAATAATCTATGTTTAAAAATTCCACCTAGTTTATTGTTTGTCTTGAGTTAATTTACATAAATTATTATTTATTAAGATTTAATGATTAAATAAAGACTCTGTTAAGATTAATAAAATATTTATTAACTTAAATTTATTATTAAATTACAATAAATATATATTTTGCCTTCAAGTAAGAAGAAAGTGAAGCCTAACCTTTTATCATTTGAAAACACCTTTATTTAAAGCTTCATTGTAACTCTTATGAAATCATAAGAATCTTATATTTGATTTCAATTATGTTTTTATACTGATTTAAAATCAAAAAATCAATTAAAAGATTCGTGTTTTTTTGTATTATATATATATATATATATATATATATATATATATATATATATATATATATATATATATATATATCCATTAGCTTATAATTAACTTTGTGAAGTTCACCTTAATTAAGTTAATAATCTTGAAAAGATTATTTATAGAATCAGTGATCCAAAATATATATTTTAAAATATTTTGGATTGGTAATTTAGAAAAAAAAATTAATGAATAAATTTAGAAATATTTAGCTTTTTAAAATTTTGAATTACAAAATTCAGAATATAATTTTGTTTATCCTTAAATTTGTATTTTTTTTATAATATATTTCGAATGGATCTGTCTGGAATACTTTAAAATAATTTTTCATATTCCAAAAATATAATTCTGAAATTTATTTTGCCATAGAAACAATATTATCTTTTCTAAACAAATGTAGGAGTGTGGGATAAAAATATGGAAGTGCAAGAAATAACATTCTTTTGCTTTTGCTTTTTGTGGCCCAACACAACATAAGTAAAATGGCTTGGGATGCCCAAAAGAAAAATGCACTTTCTTTCTGCACCTCAATAATTTTTTCTTACACTCTCATAATTAAAATAAATCCTATTTTGCCTTTACACTTATCTTTATCATTGTAAGTGTTTATTTCTGCTTTTTAAACCTTTGAATTTCTGATTTTTAAACCTTAAATCATTTTCATTCTTCATTTTCTTAGTATTCAAAAAATCGAATGTTAACAATTATTAACCTAAAACAATTTTGAATGGAGGTGATAACATAAAAAAAAACCTAATTTATAGATATATGGAGGTGTAGAAGATATGTAAGGGAATAAAGAACTAGTAGGGTTTGAAAGAAAAATTATTAGAAGGTTTTTTATTATTTTACATGAAATATGAAAGTGAAGAAGAAAAATTATGAAGATGCAAGAAGAAAGTGTAAAAAAAAAAAAAGAATTGATAGGTAAGATTGGTTTAAACTTACTTTTCTGGCAAAACCAGCTGTAAAGCATGTTTTGGGCTGGAGGCCCAAATTTTTTTATACAAAGAATTTGAACTCCAATCCAACATTCTGTGTCACGTAATAATATTTATTATTATTATTATTATTATTTGAAATCAATATGATAAATAAAAATTATATGAAATTTGAATTTATCTCTATTTATTAACTAGAAACAATGTAACATGTTTTCCATTTGAATTGAAGAATATTTGACCTCATTCTTGAGAATCGTTTGGCTGGTGAATGAGGTGAAACGTTGTGGTATCAAATATTACATATAGTTTAAAAAAATCACTTCAATTGCATTTATATGTAATAATGTCATGAACAATAATCACAGATTCTATCTTATTCAAAACGCCAAACACAATTTAAAACCCTACTTTGAACTGTTTCAAACAGATTCCTCTTTCTTCTCTTGCTCAAATATCCAATCCCAACCCTTCCATAAAAAAATTGTAATCAAGAAGTTGTTTTCAAAATCTATCCCACAAAGATTTTGCAGATAGCACTTTTGCCCATATCAACAGCAGAGAATGTTTCGTTTTTCTTGCCAATGCCGTGTTTGTTTAGAAATATAGGTCCCTCCCTTGTAGAGTGGACCAGTTTCTATAAACTATTCATCAGTCCAAATCAGACTAAGATAGCATGTTGTTTTCAAAGTTTAAAATATTGTTCATTTTTCAATTCTATTTCAAATAACACCTTAGGTTTCTTCCTAATCTAAGTCCGAATCTAAATTTTATACTCACTAAAAATAGAATATTGAACAATATATTAAAAAAAGTTCATAATAAATTTTATTAAAATTTATGTCTAAAATTTATGTCTCATTGTTATTTTTTTTTAGTAAATTTTCTTTAAAATATCTCATTGTTATATTTTATTAAAAAAAATGTTCAATATTAATCCAATAATAAATAGTTTAATCCCAATATTTTTAGGATTAATTATGATATCATCTTACAAATAGTAAAATCCCTAAATTAATTTTATAAAAATTATA